AATAACTAGAACTGGAAGTTAGTTAATTAATTGGTCGTTCAAATCAAGGGTAAAGTTAGTTCTTTATTATCAGCTGTAATTTGCTTACTGATCTGCATGGCAGCATTCTATACCCAGCTACTGTAGCATCTAGGATAGATCTGTCATTCTGGGAAAGAATCTGGTTTTTATTCCAAATTGTAAAAGTTAACTTTTTAATGCAACATAGGAATGACTAAAACTAAACTAAAACCTTTTTAAGTTTTATTCAACTAAAACCAACTAAAACTACCACATATGGTAAATACTAAAATGCAACTTAAACTGATTTTGTCCTGAAGACTAAATCCAAGATGGCTGCCAGAAACGACACAGCATCAGTGTGTTTTTCCTCTCTATGCAGATCAGGACGCTGAGAGGACAGAAGGCGGCACCTGACGCCAGGATCACCTGTGGAGGAGGAAGCCCCGCCTACCAGAACCTGTGCTTGGCCAGCCCCGCCTCCGCCGAGGGAGACTACCTGAGCTCGGACGAAGACCTGCTGAACAGCCCCCTGCCCGCCGCCGCCCTGTACCCCACGCTGACGGACCCCCGCCACCCGTCTCCCCGGTTAGACAGCGAGGGCAGCACGGACAGCGAGGCGGAGGAGCGGCTACAGACGCCTCCCGACCCGCAGCAGATATACGGCAGCATGGTGTGCGCCGACGTCCTGGATAACTGACCCCGCCCCCCCCAGGAGCCTCTAACTGCTACAGTGGATTGTATTAATCAACCAAATCCTCTTTGGCTTTTCCAGTCTTTCCCTTTTCCGTACCGCAGACATGGGGGCGGGCTCTATTCCTGACGCCGGCAGGGAGGGGCCTCCCAGACGCCGGCGGTGAGGGGCCTCCCAGACGCTGGCGGGGAGGGGCCTCCCAGACGCCGGCGGGGAGGGGCCTCCCAGACGCCGGCAGACTCATATCCTTTCAAACATCATCGCATCAAATACATGGAGAGAATAAAGTGAATCTGAACTGGACTCCAAGGAGGGAAGGATGGGAAACGGTTTTACACCCATCAGCCTCGCTCACCGCGTCCAATGGAATCCTACTTCCTGGTTGGAAATCTGTGAACTTTTCTTCCTCTGTGTCCCGCAGCCAGAACA